TTACTCAGGTAACCTGACTTGTTTTTACTCTCGGTTGTAATGCATTGCATTGTGATTCCCAAAAATGGAGAAAGAGCTCGTTTTTCTGGGCCAAGCTTTTTGAAGAATCACTTTTTTTAAATGAAAACTACTTAATGATGACGTACTTTCTTCTCGTTTACGCACTTACTTACTTCCTATAAAAGGCAACAATAAGCCGGAGCCGACACATTCCACTTGATGTTTCCTGTCTTCATGAGCCGACCATAAAGTAGTTTTTCACATAGTTTTCTTGTGTGTGTTACGAAATAATTTGAAGTGAATTGTGACTTCTCTTTTTGGGAATTTGAGGCAATCTCCGCACCCTCTTTCTCAACTGTTTTCCTTCAATTCCAATTATTGTTCTCGAACAGAGGCACGTGATCAGTCGATTTGAATCCTCGTCCTCATTTTTGAGTTCTGCTCTCACCTTATACTGCTCTAACTTGTTTTTCATTTTTTCAGTCACGCACACATACTTTGTTTCAGATAATGTCAAAGATTCTCGTTATTCTTCTCTGTTTTGCAATTGCTTTAGTATCATGCTTACCGCCTAGACCAGATTTCCCTATTGTAAGTATCATCTGAACCAAATCAATGTATGAAAATTATTTTTACAGGATGACTTGTGTGATAAATACAGAGAGAAGTGTGCTTCTAGAGGCAAGAACATCTTCTGTAAGCAAAGGACAGAGGAATGCCGATTGTATGCCTCTAAGGGTTTGGATATTGCATGGAGTTTCTGTATGTTTCAATCTGTTTTGCTTAATAATCAGATCAATTTACAGGCATGTTCTCAAACACTGATGATCTGGTAGCTTGCAATAAGCGCATCCAGATCGATTATGAGATCATAACAAATACCGTCAGAGACGACAAGTTCAAATACGATTTCGCATATTAAGAATCTCAGAATGCTTTGTTTTCATTTTTTTGCACGTTTGTACATAATCTATAATTAAAAATATTTATACGATGCCTATGGCAGATTATTTTCTTTTTTAAGCATGTCAATGATAGGATTGTAAATATCAGCAGGTGCACGCATTCCCCAAATGAAATCGAGATGGTTGTAATCGAATAGGAAATGATTTTCCTGAAAAATCATCAAGTTCAAGAATGATCGATAGAGTTGAACTATCTTATGAGATACGTTCTTTTCTGTTTCTAATACTTACAACTATGGTATCGTTGATTCGAGGGAATAGCCATGTTCTCACGTCTTCTGTGTCTGCAAGCCAGTCCATATCTCCCCAGTAAACATAAATTGGATTTTTAATTTTGGTGAAATCGTAATCTGGAGGTGTAGCCTGAAAATGCTCAGTGTGAGTACAAACGACAGGCTGTGAACTCTCTGGTCACTCAGACAACACAGATCAAGCAATAAAGTACT